CACCAAACTCGTTCCCTGCTCCACAATTTTTACCCCTACTGTTCCCTCTGCTGGGGGATGCCCCTCCTCAAATCTCTGCCTGGAACTCCTTGGCAGACCATCTTGGCTCAAATGCCACTTCTCAGCGATGTTTTTTTACCTGACATAAGAAAAATTGGAATGAGCAAAAAAAGGTTATTGCATGCCTCCAGTGGAAAACTGCATTGTTTATAGGACACTCTTGCTGCTGTCTGATGATTCTTCTTGGTCCCCTTGCCCTTGAGCTATTTGATGGTGTTATAAGTTGTAGATGTCCTATGGCAATGCAAATGATTCTTGTCTTTGGACAGGCAAATAAATTGCATCAGGGGCGGTTCAATTGACTTCCATCGTCTTAGAATAAGGAAGAAGCCAGTTTTGAATCTATTTGCAAATTCATTTTTTTAAAAGATTTTATTTATTTATTTGAGAGAGAGAGAGAAAGCACATGGCAGGGGGAGGGTCAGAGGGAGAAGCAGACTCCCTGCTCAGCAGGGAGCCCAATGCGGGACTCGATCCCGGGACTCCAGGATCATGACCTGAGCCGAAGGCAGTGGCTTAACCAACTGAGCCACCCAGGCACCTTGCAAATTCATTTTAACATTCTTCATCTGTAAATGTGTCTGTTCTTTGATTTCTCCTTTGAGCTGGTTGTAACATCTGCCTGGTTCCCTCAATAATAATGAGTTAAATAAAGTCTTTAACCCGGGTTCATTTTTTTTTTTTTAATCTGCATGAGAGTCACAATGTTACCTTTTTTGAAAATTATCTTTCAACACTGACCTTCCCCAACCCAAACTCTTTGTGTCTCCTTGCTGTTTTACTTCCTTCAGAGCTGGATCATCATCTGAGATGATTTTGTTCATTCATTTCTTTACTCGTTTTCGGGGGGTCTTTCCCTGCCTTGGTCACTGCACGGCGTGGGTGCTCCAAATAAACCTAAGGGGCTGAATGAAAGCAGGTGGATGAGCAGCAGCTGTAGACCATGGCTCACTCCTTTCTCCTGCCCTTCCTCTCCTGTAGGGCCGTCTGTCTTGTCTGTGTTTAACCCATGTTTTTCCCATGGATCCTCCCTTTCAGGCTAAATAAGGCCAGGCTAACCCTGTACTTGAAGTCTCTGACGGGTAAATAAATCATGTGTTTATGGCTTGCGTCAGGCCTCGGGCATTTCCCCACTGAGCAGCCTGATAAGCAACCTGGTGAGACTGGGTAACTTTGGGAGTGAGGGAGAAAGCCTTCCGCAGAAGCGCAGATTCCAGTCTATCATCCTCCCAACAAGGAACCGGGGTTCCCTGAGGTCAAGTGCTGGAGGTCACGTGGCTAGCTGGTGCCAGAAAGAGGGTTGGGCCTGGGATCCTGACTCAGAGTTTAGCACTGTTTCAATCATAAAAACCTGCACCTGGAGCATGTGATGCACCAGGCCTGCCTTCAGGGATTTGTGTCCATGAGCTCATCCTTTCGACAGCATGACTTTTCAGGGGGAACCGAGGTCCAGAGGAGCAGGTGATAAGTCTCGGGTCCCACAGCAGTGAGGGGTAGAGCCAGGACCTCAGCCCAGGCAGGAGATCTTTGGAGTCTCTGCACATAGCCACCACACCAACTAGAAGACACTAGAAGGAGGAGAACATATTTGTTGGACATATATTCCAGGCCAGGCCCCAAGCTAAGGGTTTCACCTGTATGATCTCATTTCATTTTCTTGATACCCAGTGGGGGAGGTGCTAGTGTTGTCCTGAAATGTTCCAGAGTCCCCAAGACCACCCTTGCTTTTGACAACAACTTCAAAGTTCAGGGGTCCTCAAGACCATGCTCAGTTTCCATAATTCACAAGAAGGACTCGGAGAACCCAGAAAAGTCGCTATACTCCCTGTGAAGGCTCATTACAGCAAAAGGATACAGATTAAGATCAGCCAAGGGAAGAGGTACACAGGGCCGAATCTGGGAGACGTCCAGGTGCACACTTCTGCTTGTCCTTCTCCAGTGGAGGTGTGCAAACAGTGCTAACTTCTAGCAACAATGTGTGACATAGATACAGAGAATCGCCAAATGGAGAGGCTCACCTGAGCCTTGGTGTCCAGAGTTTTTACTAGAGTTCGGTCATGTGGCCGTGGCTGACCATCTGCCTGGCTGACCTTAGTCTCTAGCCCTCCGAAGGTTGAGGTAACACCACATGGTCCATAAATCACGTCATGAGGATAGGCCATCTGGTGTGGCCCAAGGCCTCCAGGTAAACAAAGGTACTTTATCAGGCGAAATATTTTCCAAGGGCTTAGAATTTGCCTCCTGGGAGCTGGGGACAAAGGGCCAAAACTTTCCATAGGCAAGGTTAGTCCTTTACTGCACATCTGCCCATTTTGCAGAAGAGGAAGTAGAGTCTTGGAGATGCTAAATGACTTGCCTGGGCCTTGTGGCTAGATCCAGAATCTGACCCCTGACATCCCGACTCTAGGAGCTCATGCATCTTGTGTTCTTCCCGGCAGCTAATGTCTCTGTTGAGAGAGACATTAACCCAGGAGATGAGATTTTTTTTCCATCTTCCCATTTCTCTGGTTGTCAAAGAAGTCATGTCTAGAGTACATTGAATTTAAGGTCTCTATCAACTCTGTGCTATTAGGGAGGCATGGATAGGGACCTGTTTGGGAAACTGTCACATCCAACAAGATTCTACTTACTGTGGCCAAACTATCACACTTGATATTGTTGCTTCAGTGTGATTACAGGAAACTCCAGCACACTTGGGATGAAAACACGTATTTAACACATATTTATCAGGGATCCGGGGATGCCAGGCACGTAGCACTGGGGGTGCTACGGTGAGCGAGTTAGGCATAGTCTGAGCTTTCCATGGAGTTTATCAGTTATGCGTTGTGGGAAGAAGAGAAACAGAAAAATCCCCATAAATTACTTCCAGCATTCCTCTTTTTTGGGCATGCTAGGACCCAGCCATAGCCATTTCCTCGTCAAATATTTACTGAACAGCTACTAAGTACACAGGAGCAGAGTGAGGACAGACAGAGAGATATGGCCCTTGCCCTCCTCGAGCTCATCCTCACTTGAGTGGGAGACAAGCTTATCTGCACTTCTCTTCACTCAAGTGGAAGAAATATACAGAAATCTTTGTGAGCCGCCAGATAAGAGAGTTCCCAACGGTGATATGAACCAGGAAGGAAACAAACACAAGGCCAGGGTAGAGAATAGGTGGAGGTGGCCAGGGAGGGTATTCCATGCGGGAAACACTGAAGCTGAGACCTGCTACATGAAGAGGAACCAGGCATGTGAAGAATGAGGAACAGTGTTTAGGCAGAGGGAACAGCAGGTGCAGAAGTCCTGAGGTAGAGAAAAGACCAGCTTGGCCAGAATGTAGTGACGAAAGGTTCAGAGAGGTGGGCAGGGCCATGTGGGCTGTGCAAGTGTTTGTATTTTTCCAAGGGTAGTGGGGAGCTGTTGAAGCATTCTCAGAAGAGACTGGCATGATCTCACATTTTCAAGATCCTTCTTGGCTGCCATCTGGAGGCTGGATTGGGATGGGGTGAGCAGAGGTTAGAGTGGGGGGTGCCACCAGGACACTGTGTACTGCCTCTTACCTCTAGCCTGTGCATAGGCTCTGCCCGCTACCTGTAGTCAACTGAGCTGTGAAGCTCCAGGGATGGCCCTGGCTTGCTCCTACTCAACTTTTACCAGTCAAGTGACTGGTAAACACCTTCCTACCCAGGGCCTCTTCATATCTTTTAAACCATACCAGGCTACCCAATGTCTGTGCTGTGCAGATTCAGCTCAGAATCCCCATTTTCCTCTCCTGACTCTCCCAGACAATGGGAGGCTGTGTATAAAGTGATGACCCTGAGGCCTGCTAGATGTAAGACGTACCTACTATCCCAGCAGGAGAGCATTACAATGGGTACAATATTGATTCAGGGTCATGTGTGTTCTAACATTTACTTGATTTCTGACACTCTAATTTGTTTGACTATGTGATGAGCTGGAAAATGATAGTAGGGATATTTGGGCATCTGGTCCTACTGCTCGGTGACCATGGAGAAGTCCTTTTATCTCTGGGTGACAGTAATTGCCAATATAAGAGCTGTCATCTTTAGGCACACCCTCTGGGATAAGCACCCTGTAAAGGCCATAGTAGGTACTCATTCCACTCTCACATCTACACCACCATCATCGCCACCATCACCACCATCACCACCATCATCACCACCATCATCATCACCATCATCATCACCACCATCATCACCACCACCATCATCATCATCGCCACCATCAGCACCAGCATCTTTTCTTTTTGGGGGGGTAGGGCCAAAGGGGGAGAGAGAGAGAGAGAGAATCTCAAGCAGACTCCACACTGAGCACAGAGCCCAACGTGGGGCTTGATCTTATGATCCTGAGATCGTGACCTGAGCCAAATCAAGAGTCGGATACTCAACCAACTGAGCCAGGCCCCCCAATCATCACCATCATTGCCACCATCACCACCACCATCATCACCATCTTTGCCATCATCATCATCATTACCACCATTGTCGTCATACAATCAACTCACAGGAAGAAACTGGAACTAAGCAATCAGTACACAGATACGCATATACACACAGAACAGAGGTGGGATTCAAACGCAGGTGCTCTGACTTTAGTGCTCCACTCTCACCATCAAGTCACATTTCTCCTTATCTCCCCCTGTAAAACCCAGTGGTTCGATGTAATGGCCTCTAGGACATTGCTACTTAAAGTGTGGTCCCTGAACCACATCACCTGGGAGCATCGGCATCACCTGGGAGCTTGTTAGAATCGCTGAATCTCAGGCCCTACCTTGATTCTACTGAATCAGAATCTTTATTTTAAAAAGCCCCCCAGGTGATTTGTAGGCACACTGAAGTTTGAGAAGCCCCACACTAAGACAATTCTTTAATATTCTGTGAACTGTGACCTCTGCATGGAGTAAAGGGTCCCTTCAGGGTTGAGAATATGACTCCTACATGCCCCTTCCTAACCATTCCATTAAAGTAAGGCTGGGAGGAGAAATTCTTCCTTCATTCTCAGATGTACCTTCTTGTTCCACAGATAAGGTCAAGTGCTTCTCAGACTACCCAGCCCTGTGGATCCCCAGGAGCCACATAGAGAGTTTGAGGATGGGACTGAGCAGAATTCTGCACTTGCCAGGGAGGGAACAGTTATTGGCTGGGTTGGCCTTTGCCTGGGGAGAGATGCCTGTCTGCATACCTCACCCCAGGGCCTTTGTATTGCCTTTTCCCCTGCCTGGAATACTCCTCTCCCATTTCTCACTGCCGGTTCCTTCCTGTCACTCACATCCCTGCTCAAAGGCCACCTCCCCGAGAAGGCTTCTTGACTCTCCATCCAACGCAGTCCCTGCCCACCCCCGGTCACAATCTCACCCCATGGGCTTCTTAGCACTCACCACTATTTAAAATGATCTTCTAAATCTTTGGTCTTCTGTGCTCCCCCCACAGAGGGGAGCTCCGTGAGGGCAAGGCCCCACATGTTCCTGATTTATTGCTGTATCTCCAGAACCAAGAACACTGCCTGGTACTTAGTAGACACTCAATAAATATTTGTTGAATGAATGAACAGCCTGAAACCCGAGAAGAAATGCCCATCCGGCGCTGATGTTCTTCAAAATCTAAATCACCTGGAAAAATAAATGGATGTGGGGCTATAGGGGTGACTTTGACAGACCTGAGGTAGGAAGCCATGTCAGGCTTGGTGAGGGGACAGGTCCCCAGACGCAGCAGAAAACGGGCCTTTCAGCAGTGGGCTTGCCAACGAGAGTAGGAAGGGGGTGGGTCACACAGGTCATTCTGGAATCTTCTGGAGGGAACAAGAGTAGAGAGATGTGCAAATTGCCCACTTCTCTCTGTGTCCCCCACCGTGGGCACCGCAGAACAGGCCCTAGAAATTCCTCTTTTGCACAGAAAGAGAGATTGGGGAGAGGGTCTTTTCCATCTCTCTCAGACGCTAGGAAAACCTCCCAGGGCCCCCTTATGGATCTTTTTTTCTTTTTTTTTTAAAGATTTTATTTATTTATTTTGACAGAGACACACAGCGAGGAGAGAGGGAACACAAGCAGGGGGAGTGGGAGAGGGAGAAGCAGGCTTCCTGCGGAGCAGGGAGCCCGACGCGCGTCTCGATCCCAGGACCCTGGGATCATGACCTGAGCCGAAGGCAGACGTTCAACGACCGAGCCACCCAGGCGCCCCCCCCCCCTTATGGATCTTTAAGGAAGTCCTTAAAGCACTTTCGGGGACTGGGGGAGCCTAAATCTGTCCTGGGAGGGTCAGTTGCCCGATGGCCAGGCAACCTGCGAAGCCACGGGAGCGGCATTTATGTATTAAAAGGCCACTTTTCGGGGAGAAATGCTGTGGATACATTAAGCTGTCGCCTGTTCTTTGGAGAGCCATTATTAATGGAAAACAATAGATTAATAGTTTTAAAACGCTTGTTCAATAAGTAATTTTTATGGCTCTGGATAGAGCCCATTAAACATTTCTGTGTGTTATTATAAAGAAGTTTTAAGCGTAAAATCATAAAGTCAATAATCAGAGAATTAGTCACAGCGGCCAGCCACAGGCCATTAGTTTTAGGCGCTGTCAGAGACACCTGTGGCTTTCGCTGGAGAGTTTTCTTTCCACGGCAGTGCCAGGTGGAGACACAGGCGTGATGGTACCTGGTGCCTTCCATAAACTTGAGGGGACAGCAAGCAGGTGTGAGCAGCGGGATGCCAGGCAAATATTTACAAAGTGCAAACGTGAATGCAAAACTAAAACGATCCAGGTCAATTTGCACATCCAGGCTTAGACACTTTATTTCCCCAGTGATCTCCCACCTCCCGGAGCCTCCCTCTGCCAGAGGCGCGGCCTTGATCTCTTGCTAAAGATAGAGGTGGAAGCTGCATGCTTTTAAAAGGAACGCATGTCGCCAGAGAATACCCCACATAAAGGCTTCCGGGGCTGTTTTCTGAAATAGTGTATTCATCTCCCACCAAATGCACAATGGCGTCAAGAATGTGAAAGTGAAACTGTGAGCTTTTAAAAAGCGGCCTGAAAACAAAATCATGACAAAAGCAAATACAAGATAGTTATGGAAACTAGAGAAAGTCCAAAGAAGACAATAAAGATCGCTCTGCCCAGAGCTCTCCCTCTTTCGGCTTCACTAGTTCAACAAATATTTATCGAGAGCCCTCTATACGCCGAACACTGCTCTCGGAGCTAGGGGTGCAGCGACGAACAAAACCGACACTCCTGGCCCATGGAGCTACATTTGGGAGTGGGGAGACAAGCAACAGACATAATAAATAAGTAAATTAGACAGCAGGTTACAAGCATAAGGGTTACAGAAAAAGGAAACGGCATTCATAGGATAAAGGCAAGAAAAGAGCAGGCCTCATTGAGAAGGTGACGTTTGCACAGAGACTTGAGGGGGGTTGGAGGAGTGAGCCATGCGGGTATCTAAGAGAAGGCAGCTCCAGGCAGAGGACTCGGTCAGTGCAAAGGCCCTGAGGCAGGAGTGTGCCTGGCATGCTTGAGAAAGAGCAGGGAGGCCAGTGTGGCTGGGGCAGAAGGAGGGAGGCGAGGAACTGGGAACGGAGGTCAGGGAGGTGAGGGGTGAATCATGTGCGGCCTTCTAGGGCTTTGGCTTTTCCTCGAAGCGAGAAATGGGGAGGTTTGAGCAGAGGCATGGCGTGATCTGACCTAGTGTGGCACAGGATCCAGATGGCTGCTATGTGGAGTACAGACAACCAGGGGCTCGGGGAGGTAAGGAAGGCAGGGGCAGAAACCCAGGTCAGGGACCAGAGTAGGGAGAAGGTGTGAGATTCTAGATATATTTTGAAGGTAGAACCGATAGGATTTCCTGTTGGAAACCTCAGGGGCGAGGCAGGCTACTCCCACCACCCCCTCCCAATACCTTTTCAGCCTTGTCCTATGACTGCTATTTTTCTCTACTCCAGAGCTTCTAGGTTTATATCTGGGTATCTGAGATTTCTGACCTTGTGGAGAAGTAGCCTCTGCAGGTCGATAGGACTGCTAGGTGTGTTAACCCAGCTCGGAGGCTGTCTCCTCCAGGCAGTCTTCCTGATATTGATCACTTCTGTGTGTTAAACCTGCTTCTATCGGTGCACCTGCTGCCCTATGAGTGACGTACCTGCTCACGCAGCCGGGCTCACACAGCCGTCTCTGGCTGGATCTGGCGTGCCTTTGGCGGGCTGGGGGATAGTGGGGGCATACCCACAGTGTTTGCCTTTGGGTCTGGCACCCAGTAGGTGCTTGGTAAGTGCTTAATAACATGAATAAAAGGTGCCACCAGATTCACAGAGGCTGACCGACCTCAGAGCTGATGGAGCATAAGCCCCAGGGCACCTTACTTGCTCTGGTCCCTTATGGGCTCACAAGACTCTGTAATGTTGGCGAAAGACATTTTTGTATTCTTTTTCCTTAAGAGGCCCTTCCCTGAAATTGCACGAGCTTCAGGATCCACACGGCCTGGACCCCGCCCAGGGAAGGAGCAGAGAGGTGGGTTTTGGGGCTGGGTTCCGAGGCCTGGGCTGATGCCGGTTGGCGAGGGAGCTGACTCGCCTTTGAGGGCCAGACGATGAGGAGCTGCCCTGACGTGGGCAGCCGCTGACAGCCTGGGGGTGGAGGGGGGCTGGTGGCAGCTCCCCGGTGGTCCTGCTGCTTTAATCCCTCGGCCTGGCCTCTGAGAGGGGGCGACCCGCCCCCCCAGAGCCCTCATCTTTTCCTCTTCTCCTCACATCCATTTCCTCTCTCCTTCCCTTTTTCGTCCTCCCTTCCCCGCCAAGCCTAGAGTCTCCCCGGAGGGAGCCGTGGTCACAGGGTCGCGGGGTGGGGGGGTTGCAGAAATCACAGGAACTAACCTGTTCCTTCTCTTTCTCGTCCTTTCTTCGGTCGTCTCCTCTTTGACACCCCCCTATTTCCCCACTGCACCCTGTTGGCTTAGTCCCTGACCTACTCTGAGCCTCATCTTCCTCATCTATATAATGCGAATAAGACAGCCTACTTTAGGAGTCATTTGTAGCGGTCGAAGGAGACAAGGTGTGAACCAACATTTGTCACCTGTCAAAGGATGTTCAGGCATAAACTCTCTTGTTCTGTCTGCCCAGGTCTGACCTTCCTGAAATCTTCAAATGTCCCCAGGACTGAGGCCTTCCTGATGGGGGCTGCGCTGCAGGAGCCCAGAAACTGGACCCAGGTTCCCTGGCCCCACAGCTCTGGTCTCCCGGCCCAGCCCTCTTGCAAGAGACCTGCCCAGCTTCCAGTCGGTTGATGTTAACCATACTTGCTGGAAATAGTCACTGACCTATAATTGCGGCCTATTAACTGTGTTTTTCTTTTCCATTTGCACACATGAATTTTGCCCTACTTCCAGAAAGCAAATTACAGGTTGGAAATCAGAATATTTCAAACAAGGGTGAAAAGGTTGGAGCAGTGAGTCTGCTACATAATGAAGTGTCAGTGATAACATCCAGGCTGGGCCAGGAGAGTGTCCACCGTGGGCCCACATCCGTTCAGGTAACAGGCTCTGAGCGCCCAGAGGGACATGGGATGGGGTGTGGGGGTGGACACCCCAGACTGGACTTCTCTGCAAAGGCTGTGGCTCCTGAGCCTCGAGACATGGCCGGGCAGAGAGGTGGCCGCTGGGGGGTGCCACGTGGCCTCGCTCTCCCGCAGATATTCGCGGGCGCTGACAGGGTGCCTGGTCCCACCGGGTTTGTCAGAGCGAGTTGGGAGGGGGTGCGATGGAGGAGTGCGGGCGTGTGAAAGGTCTCTGAGCTAGCTGGTGCAGGGGACAGTGGGCGCACTGGGGTGATCGTGGACGCCGCAACATTGTGTCGTTGTGTTCCCCCTTGCTAGACTGAAAAAAATGGCGAGTTCGGACGCTCCTTCTCGACCCGGGTAAAGTCAAGGAATTGTAGACTTTTAGCCATAAAAGGACGTCAGGTACAATCCTTCACTGCCTTGCAGGCTCCTTGCAGTCAGGTTTTCTCACGAGTCCTGTGAGCTAAACAAGATGCGGATGGGTGGGTGGTTACAGATGCAAGTGCCAACGGGGGCCAAACCCGCCCCAGAAACGAGTGTGCCAGGCTGAGGAGGCAGTAAAGAATTTTACTTGTGTCTTTCTTTAGCAAGTACTTCCATGGCACCCCTACTATGCTGGGCCCTGTTCTAACCGCTTCGCAAATATGAACTCATTTCATCTTCATAGCAATCCGAGGCAAAGGGTACTGTTATTGTCCCAATTCTACAGGTGATAGAACGGAGCAGAGAGAGGAGAGGGTGTGCGAGGAGCTGGGCCATGAACCAGGCACAGCCTCCCGCCCCGGCCCCCCGCAGAGGGGCAGCCTCCACTCCACCCCAGCCCCTTCCGGCCAGACTTTCTACCTTTTCGTGAGAAACTGGACATCTGGAATTGTATATGAAATCTTCTAATTTTAAAAAGGTGACTTTAGGGCGCCTGGGTGGCTCAGTCGTTAAGCGTCTGCCCTCCGCTCAGGTCCTGATCTCAGGGTCCTGGGATCGAGCCCCGCATCGGGCTCCCTGCTCGGCGGGAGGCCTGCTTCTCCCTCTCCCACTCCCCCTGCTTGTGTTCCCGCTCTCGCTGTGTCTCTCTCTCTGTCAAATAAATAAATAAAATCTTAAAAATAAAAAAAATAAAAAGGTGATTTTAATTTTGCAAACATGAAGTGGCTCAAACAAAACAAAACAAAACAATACTGGATTTGGCCTGGGGATACTGGTGTGGGACACCCTGCCTGGGAGTAGGGGAAGGAAGATGGGACTGGGGAAGGAAAGTTGAGGGAGGGAAAGGGAGAGGAGAGGAGAGGAGAAAATGGAAGGAGGAGATGGGAGAGAGAAGGCCACCTGTGACTATCGCCGCTCATTCAACGAGCATTTATGTAGCACCTGCTCTATGCCAGGCACTGAGCTGCTACTAGGGGAATAGATTTAAATGGGTTGTGGATCCCTGCCCCAGAAAGAGCTTATAGCTGTGTTCCCATCTGGTCTGAATTTTAACAAAGCGCTGTGGCAGGAGGAACCCCACTTCTGGGAGTGCCCCCAGGATGAAAGACCTGAGCTCCTCTAGCTTGGAAGCCGGGGCAGATGGGCAGACTGCTCGGATATTCCTCTGCTTCCCAATCTTAAGGAGCAGGGGCTGAGAGGGCACGGCTTTCCCTGCCCACTGTCCTGTTGTTGGTCCTCCTAAGAATCACTGGGCTCTATCTACCCTGTGATCCCCAAGCATTGCCCCCAGGCAATGACCTTTGACATTCCTGGCTGGTCCCTTCTCCCCCCCCCCCCCCCCCCCCGCCCCCTTGCCCCCCACCCCACCCCCACGCTGGGCCTGTAATTCTGAGAGCTACCGCCAGGGGGACAGTGTGGCCGGTGTCACGCAACACTGGGCCGAGTTACCGAGAAAAGCAGGACCTGCTCCTGGCCCAGGCACCTGCTTTGTCTCCAACGACCTGCCTTAGAAGCCGGGACGCCCAGCATCCTTCACCGAGCGAGGTGCGGGAGCGCTCAGTGGCCCCGCGTCCCAGAACATGGACACAGGGTGGTGGGCAGCTGGCACGAGACAGAAGATGGGTCTCTGCTGCCCTGCCCCCCCACCCCTCTCCCCAACCTGAGAACCTTGTCGAATTGACTGATTCACTCCTGGTGACTTCTGCAGCCGCTGCTTCCCTGCCTGCACCTTGAACTTGCATTAAGTTTTAATTAAAGCCATTTCACCGGCCTTGCCCTTGGCTAAATGCAGCTGTGGGCACAGGGCACATAGATATTTAATACTCTGCCTCTCCCCGCTGAAGGTGCAGGGTGCCCAAGGGTGTACCCGAGCCGTGCCCGCTAGCAGTGATCGGCGCTCTTGCTTAAGTGTGCCCACAGGCCCCGAGCGGGAGGCCGGCAATAACTATTCATTGCCCTGGGTTAAGTGTGCCCAGGGGCACCCGTAAACTCAATGCGGTGATTAGCGATTGCTCCCAGTGAAGGCTGCCCGAGGTCCTGCGGAATGTCCTCGGCCCTAAATATAGCCTCTGCGTGGGGCCTTAAAGGGCACCGTGCTGATCGCTACTTGCCTTCCTTGTTGAAGCGGAATCGGTTCCCTCCTTAAAGGCCAGCCTCCGGGGGCTTCCCTGCCTTATTCTAGGGTGTAGCAGAGGGATGGGGCGTGGGAACAGCAGGACGGCTTTGGTGGGGGCCGGGGGGGTGGGGAATGGCGAATCCTCTGCAGCCTCTCACCACCCCTCGGGCATCCTCCCCATTCCCCAGCCTCTGTGCTGCCCAAGGGAAGGTGGCAGCTCCAAAGACAAGGAGGCAGAGGGGCTTGCGGGTGCCCTGAGCCTGCCTCCGGTGGGGCCCTAGAGCCAAGGGGTAGTAGGGCTGGCGCACCCAGTAGGCTGAGCTGGCTGGGGTCTCCTCCCACCTCCTGCTTTCTTCCTTCTGCTCCTGCAAGCCCCTGTCTGTCCCTCCGTCTGGAGGAGTGGGGGGCGGGTGGTCTGGGGAGGGTGCCGTTGAGGTGGGTGGGTCCCCGGGGCCTCATCTCTCTGCCTTGTTCTAGTGCAGGGGTCAGTCGGGTGATCTCTAGGGTCTGTGACTCCCCTCCCTGCCTGCCCAGGTCCGAAGCAAATGCAAGGGGGCCGGAGAAAGGAGAGAGAAGTAGGAGAACAGGTGGGTGGGGGGCGAGGACGTGGCTGCAGCAGGAGCTCCAGAACCTTCCTTCTCTGCTCGCAGGGTCACCTTTGTCACCATCTGTGAAATGGGGAGAACGGTGCCCCCCTCGGGGGTGGTGGCGGGGCTCCTGGGCCGCACAGTGACCAGCCATCCCGGTCGGCCTGGGTCTGCCCTGGCGTGGGCACTTGCAAGTCCCACAGCAGGGGAGCCCCCTAGGTGCCGGGGAAACTGGGATGGGTGGTCACCCCAAGTGTGGTGCCTCTGGTGTGCATGCGCGGGCCATCGGGGCACTCCCTCCACCCCTGACTGCTGGATCTGAAAAGGAGGGAGAAAGGGTGAGGGAGGAAAACAAGACGGGAGGGCCTGGGAGACAACCCTGATGGAAAGTGGGTCCCGGAGCGCGTCGGTGCCATGCATACCCGCTCTCGGCCCACCAGCTGTGCCCGGGACCCCAGCTGCCCCCTTGGCCGGCCCCAGGGCGGCAGCTGAGGCAACGACATTTCTCGGGGTCTGTTGACACTTGAGTCCCAGAACATAAATGATTTTCTCGTCTTAATGAGCAAACAACCCAGCCGGCACCGTTCTCTCGCTGGCCTCCTGCTGGGGTAATTGCCGGCGCTTATGTGCTCAGGCAGAAATGTTTACTCACTCACCTTTGCTCACCGCTTGCCAAGAATTTGTTGCTTCCTCTTTGTACTGCAGTCTCCCTGACACTGCCCCTGGGAAGCGCCACTGGCCAGGTATGTGGGCAGGAGCGACTCTCTGGAAGGCCCTGCCAGGCCCGGTGCTCGGGGACACTCGGAGGCAGAAGGTTTTGACTTCTCTTCTCCTTTGGAGAGGGGCTGGTGGATGGTGCCAACTCTTCTGGGCTCGTGTCTTGGCACCCGAAGCTGGAAGCTCCCCCTGGTGCCCTCCAGGCAGAGGTCTGAGGCCATTTGAGAGGAAATCCGAGGAGGGGTCCCGGCTTTGGGTGGGAGGCTGGGCAGGAGGTCCCTCCCGTGCTGAGATTCTCCGAAAAGTCTCCAGTGCCGGGGAGCTTGATCCCTCTGCAAGGCCACGCGTTTCTTTGGCAGAGCTGTCTGCCCCCACTTCCCTCTGGCTGGTCCCGGGTCTGCTCTCAGCAGCCTCCTGGAAGGAGCTGGGCCCCTCTCCGTTTTACATCCTTTCCAGTATTTGAAGTCAGCGAGCTTTCCCTTCCTCAAGTCTTCCCCTGAATTCCTCATGCCAGTCCTTCTAGCTTAGGGTCTGGGGACTCCCTCCTGTCCCCCTCCCCCTCTCCGGGCACCCACCTAGATTCAAGGCCCCCATCGCCAATGTCCACTAACGCACTGCCGAGGGAGCCGAGAAGAGGACCCCGGGCGCGCCCGGCCAGACGGAGTACAGGCGGGTCTCCTGGTCGGCCCGGCTGGCTGGGGTGACAGCACCCTCATTCTCTCGCCCGTGTGCCGCCTAGGGAGTGCACCTACTACGTGCCGAGCGCCCCTGCGAGGCATCAGCTCCCCTCAAGTGTCCGGTCCGCCTTTCTCCTCGAGTGGCCTGCTGCCCTGCTTCTTGCTCCTGCCCACCCCGTCCTTAGCCCTGTCACCTTCCTGAGTGTCCCCTCAGGGAGCTTCTCCCTGTCCCCCTAGTGACCACGTCTCTTTGGTCAGACCGTTGACGAGTGTGTCCCGTTTCTTCAGACCCCATGGCTGCTGTCCCTTCGGGGGGAGCTGGGAGCTTTTCTTCAAGAAGCTGGCCTGGTGGGATTCTAGCTGGGCATCGATACCACCCCCATTACCGTCCAAGGCCCAAGGCAAGACCTGCTTCAGAGGCGGGGGGCCAGTGCTGGGCTGGGGGAGGGGTCCTGTGGCAGGGCACCCCCGGAGCCCCCGCTGGGCGCAGCTGCAAGGCCCCAAAGAGCAGTCCGCTGCTCCTCCAGTGCCAATTGTCCACCTGGGACACTGGACAGATTTAGGCAGGCGGCTTCGAAAATTGGGCTCCATTAGCGTAAAGTGCTCCGCATGGCAGATGAGGGGCTCCTGCAATCATGCATTCAGCCCGTCCTGATCATGGTGGCAGGAGCATAATTACCATCTCTTTAAATAGCCCAAAGTTGCCGTGGAAGAGAAGACGGCTCACATGACATTTGCTCGGAGCTCGATTCCTGCTAAAAATATCCGGGCTAAATAATATTTCCGGGTTGCGTTGAAGCAGCAGCCCCTGACCTGAGCTCTGTGACACCTGGGGCTCGTCCAGAGGCTAGACACCTAGTCCAGAGGCTAGTCTGGAAGGGCGAGGGGGTCCCTGTGGAGGGAGTCCGTTTCTGGACGGAGTGGTTCGGAGGCCACAGGGGGACACTTCTGCCTCACCAGGTGCTGAACCCCTCCAAGGAGCTCCTGCCAGTCCGGCTGGTGAACAGCTCTTAGGCCTGTTCTTTAGAAGCTGCTTGCCTACTGGGTAAGGCCCAGGAGCGCCCCTAAGTCCACCCTGTCTGGCTTCACCTCTCGCTCGTTCCATCCCTTCTGTGTCCCTCCCTCCTCTGGGCACCTTCTCCCCAAGGCCCCACCCCACCTCGCCTCTCCATAGCCCCAACCTTGACCTTGCTTCCCTGAATTGCTTGGGACGAAGAGACCTCTGCTGTCCTGGAGGGTATGAGTGTGTACGGAGTCTGGGTTGGGCGTGGTATATAGTTGTAAAGTGGAATCATCTACCGGAGACTTCCAAACCCGGGGTCTTTATACTCTGGGGAGGTCCCAACATGGGCTCCAGGGGGTCTGAGAACAAAGATGGGAGAGGGTCTGCGGCCTTCAGCAGGCCCTCCGGGGCTTCATGGTCCACCAGAGGTTGGGACCCCAATCTAGACCCTGTATGTAACAACTACTTCGTTCAGCCCAGGGTATTAATACAGAGAGGCTTCGAATCTGAAAGAGCACTTCCTACCTCTGGGAAGTTTAAATCCTAAGGAACTCTGTATGCAAAGTTGGGTGGATCAAAGGCTTCACCCCGTGTGGCTCGATCAGAGAGGACTAAGACTTAGCATGTGATAGAATTTTATCATGGAGGGTTTCCTGACAGGGCTCTGGTGATTTTAAGGCATAAGGGATGGCCTCACCAAGCCCCCAAACATCTCTTTCCTTGTTCATGATGCCTGAAACCGTTTATTTGGAGGCAGGTGCTTTCATTTAGCTACTGCAGAACTGGCTTCAAATGCCCCCCACGAGAAGGCTGACACATGAAACTCTTGCTAAAGTGTAAACAATTGATACGAGCTTTGTTTCTTAAGAGCAGCTTTGGTGAGGATGGGGCGCCAGGCTGGGTCACTAAAGCTAAAGACAGTCTCGGCAGAGACATTTCTGCAGCTTCTGGGGGGCAGTCCTGCTCCTGGCATCTGCTTCCTTATGGGCCTTCACAGATGGCAGGGTACCCTGGATGTTTGGGGATGGCCTTTTTCTTCTGCCAGGCAGTGACACCAAGCATCAAGTGATCTCATGTCACCGATCAGGAAGTGTGCTGTGCTGGCCGTGGGCATGGCCCCTGGCTGAGGTCCTGGCACCACCCTTTTGTCCACATACCTGCAAAGTGTGTAGTTTTCTTTCTCTCTTCCTTCCTTCCTCCCTTCCTTCCTTCCTCCCTTCCTTCCTTCCTTCCTTCCTTCCTTCCTCTCTTTCTTTCTTCCTCTCTTTCTTTCTTTCTTTCTTTCTTTCTTTCTTTCTTTCTTTCTTTCTTTCTTTCTTTCTTTCTTTCTTTCTTTCTTTCTTTTTTTCTTT